CTAAAGTGTTGCGAAACAAAAAACGTTTTTTTGCTTTTTCCGGTTTAGGGGGGCATATGGGTACACCAAACATATTTAGTGTTATTCTACAGGCCAATACCTTATATATTAAATTCCGGCTACTAGTTGGAAAGATATAGAGGTAAATGTGTTTTGGTTCGTGTCTCCACTACGAGATGCTTTGGTATGTATGTGGCGTCTGTACGTACCATCATTTAATTTTTTTCAAACTTTCAGGAATTAAAGTACCAAAAAAACTAAGAAGGTTTTGTTCCATGATGTTTTGATTCGTATGTCTTTGTGGGCGTGGCTGGTGCCTGAAATTCGAAAAAAGGCAATTTTTTAAACTACCACTGAGGCCGCACTACTCAGTCCATGTCATTGATGTGGATATTAGTAGAAGGGTCTTCAAACAAGCGATCTAACGCTATCTTTTGTGTTTATAAAATATAAATATGTCATAACGTTACCGCTTGAAAACTAAAAATCGGGCTGCTGAAAATATACATTTCGGGCATTTTCTCAAAAATTGGTCAGTCGACTTTATTCTAAGTTTCCACAACTCTAGCCCAAAATCTTAGCTTTCATCTGGTATATAACCTATATCTGGGGAAACTCTTGTTGGGGAGATATCTCGATTCAAATTGAAAAAATGTCGCTCCGAAAAGGGTCAAATGGTTAAAAATTAACATATTCGTCTAATTTGGTTACTTTAAGATATAAAAATAACATACCCAGTTCCCCGAAAAAATTTCCCATTCCCCGATTGCCACTTAAATCGAAATTCCCTGCAAATCGGGGAATTTCCCGCGAGTTGACAAGTTGAAGGATGCAGCTGTGCTAATCACTTCGTACATGTCGTGGAAACCACAATTCGTGTGTATTTTAGAGTTTTTTTTCAGTCATATGCCAAAATTGTAACATTTTTCCCTATTTTAATTGCAGGTATGTACACAGTATGTAACTATGCTACATGGGTTTATCACCCGCACTTAACCTACCTGGGAAGACGCGTTACCTACAGTTGTACATAAATATGTATGTATGAATGCATTTAGTTCACCCAATGTGCCGCTACTACTTACATACATATGTACAAATTGCTTCTGAGCAAAACTACTTGAGAAAACATCATAAAGGGCTAACTATATTATGAATAAGCAGGCGTATGTAACTGTGCGAATACACATAAAGCCTATTCTGAAACTATTACTACGTTTATACGCACAGAATAATCGACTTAATTGAAAGCGGATTGACACCGTACACATTTCGCTCTAGTGTTTATACTTACGGCTTTATATCGACATCAAAGTAACCGTCTTCAAAAGCAAACAAAATAAGCTGTTTTCATTTGACATTTTATAAGTTAACATAATGGAAAGTGATAAAAATCTAGTTTTATTCGGCATTATAAAATCGTGGCAAAGAAAAAGAACGATTATTATTAATCAGCTTTTAAATACTGATGCGATCATTTGGAATTTGAGCGGAACAGCTGATCTCCAATTCGCTTTGAGTGAGAGCGGTGTTTATACACTCTTTCTAACTGTCTGGAGAAATCAACTACCGATTTGAAATGGAGTGTGAGCCAAAACACTTCGCTCTTTCAAAGCGAATTGAAATTCAGTTTATACATATGTTTTGAATCGTGGCGAAATGAATTAAAGCGACTTATGCATGCGTATAAACGTAGTATATAATGTGCTTAACATCAAGTTTTGTCAAGTTTCGCCAAACGTCATTTGCTTAATGAAAGAGCGATACTGATCGCACCTTCCGTACGGAATCAGCTGTTTGTCCTCGTACGTATGTACATATGTATGTACATATGCAACACATGCTGTGTTGCCGCATTGGTATTTTTTTTACCGAAATTGGTAATTTTTTTCTTTATTTATCATATTTGGTAATTTGGTAACTTATTTTTCAACTTGGTAACATTTTCGACTCAGTCCTACTTGTAACACAGGTCAAAAGAAGTTCTGGTTCTACATTAGGAAGTGTGCCGTAAGCGTTTCCTTTTACAGAAACACCAGGGCCCGAATCGCGGCAGTCGTGAACGACACAAATTGTTAGAATTTTTTCGATTTGGCATCACCGCACCCGTTATCGAGTGAGCTCATTCGAAATTCGTTATTCCGCCACTCGTTAACGAGTGTTTTTTCATTCGAAGACAACGAAATTTTATTCGACTGCACTGAGAAAAGAGTTTAGTTACGTCAACCAAATATGTTTATATCAACACATGATTTGGTTATAGTTACACTATTTGGTTATAATTACCAAATCATGTGTTGAGAGAAATATATTTGGCTGACTTTTTTCTGAGTGTGGCATTTTTCAAACGAGTAACAAGTAATTCGTAAAAATTTTTGATTTTAACAAGAAAAACTAGTTAAATAATAAGAGAAAAAATATATAAGTTACTGTTTTTTAAATATTAATGATAAATATTAATTATACAATGCTTTTAGGACGAATGTGAATAAAATTAATATGCAGCAAAAAATTCTGATGGCTGAATATATACTGGAGCACCAACACTTGGCCAAAAATGTTATACCGAATTCCGGACAGGGCAAAGCAACTGCAAATAGGTTGTGGGAGGCTTTGGCAGTGAAACTTAATGGCGCAGGTCCCCCTGTCCAGGATGCAAAGACATGGCGAAAGGTACGTCCTTGCAAATATATTGTGGTAAAAGTCCGAGGGCGCCAGGCTGAAAATCAAAAACATTGAGAGTACTCCCTTTCTTAATACATTTTAGGTATTTGCTGACCAAAAGCAGAATGTGAAAAAGAAACTTTCCTTTAATAAGGCGTCGAAGCAGAGAACTGGCGGTGGTCCTTACGAGGAAAAGCCTTTGACGGCGGCAGACGAACAAATTGTACAGGCTGCCGGGTTGGATGTTTCAGTAGAAGGGCTACATTCTGTCAGATGTTTTGGTAATTTATTGCCCCAAAATGAAAGCGCCCAGGAAGCAATCGAGGAAACAGTAGAAGAATTTTTGGCCAGTGATGAGGAAGAAAGCGGAAGTAAGAAAGAAGACGAATACCCCACTACCTCCAGAAAAAGTGTAAAAGCACAAGGAAAGACTGAAAAGCTTGCACTCCTAAAATTACACCTTAATGCGTCTGAAGAATCTCAAAGCAACATAAGCAGTAAGTTGGACAGACTGATAGCGCTTAAAGAAAGATCGGTAGCATTGAAGGAAGAAGCTCACAAGGCTAACATGGCCGTCAAGGAATTGGAACTCAAAATCAAACGCCTTGAGTTGGCTGCTTTACAAAATTCATATTCAAAATAGTTCAATATATTTTTACATATCGTTACCTTAATTGATACTTTTAAAACGCAAATATTTTTTTTTTTAATCTTTACGACTGTGAATTTGAATTATAATTTTAAGTGCATTTCAATCTAAGAATATGATTAATTTTTTGATTTTGAGAGTTGCACTGTAATTAAAGAATGAATTAAAAAATGTTTATAAATTAATTTTATTTTCCTTTCTTTAGAAATAAATAAAGTGGTGAATGAATTCTTGTGTATAGTGTTATAACTAAATAGTATTCGATAACGAGAGCATTATTTGATCTCTTATTTTTTGGTAGATTTTCGTTAAATGAGTTTCGTTTCCAATATCCACTTCTGTTTCAATATTTTCGCATACGTTATATCTGCAATATGACGGATCTTTAAATTGTATGCATACGTTATGCAACGCTGCACACACATTGCCGGACTTCGCTATTTTTTCTGGCCTATAACGACTTCTCTTGTCATTGCTGAGGATTTTCCAGCGACCTTTAAAAATTCCTATTGTTCTTTCAACAATACACCTAGATTTTGCATGAACCTCATTGAATCGCGCTCGATTTGAATCTTCTTCAGGATTTCTGTAAGGCGTTAAACACCATGGCTCTAAAGGATATCCCGAATCTCCTATTGAATTGGACATATGTATATGTATTTAATTGCATTAAAATATTACTAACATATTTTAATGCATTAAAATTATTTACCTAAAAGCCAAACGTTCTTCAAATTGTTAAGATTATATTGCTCTTCCAAAAATTGCCTTTGTGCTGAATGCTTCCACACAAAAGAGTCATCAGCGGCTCCACCATATTTTGAATCAATGGCCAATATCCTGTATTCATGGTCACAAATCTGCAAAGGAAATCTTATTAAAATTACTTAGTTTTTGAATATAGTGCAATCTACGTACTATCATAGAATTGATGCTGTGATATCCTTTACGGTTGAAAAACATGTGCTCGTTGTGAGTTGGTTTTTGTAGCCCAAAATGTGTTCCGTCAATGCATCCAATAACTGCAAAACAAATAAATACAAATAAATTAGAAGCATTTCTTTTTTCTTAGAAAACCATTTTTTACGAGTGAGATTTTGTGTCCTTAACTACATACTTCCAGGAATTTTGTATTTTTGTACAAATGATTCCGCGCACTGAGAAAAGCGTTCAGGGGAAAATTTTATAAAATGGGGGCACAGCTTTGTTTCCAATTCATTGACCACATTCCACACTATTTTGCAAACTGAGCTTTGGCCTAATCCAATCAAGTAATCGCTGCCAACTGCATTTTGGAAACCTCCACTGGCCAAAAGCGATAAAGTTGCCGCTAATTGTAGCACTGGTGGGACCGATGTTGACAAATGTCCTTTAAATTGCAGACGTGAAAGCACATACTCGAACCCGCTTTTGTTTAGTCTGAACCGTTTTTTGAAACTAGAAATTTGTAACTGATATTAAAATTCATTAAATAAACCGAACACAATTCTTACGCTTCTGCCGACAAAGCCATACACTGAGAAAAAGGATTAGTTTCGACAACTAAAGATGTTTAGTTTCCGAATTTTGACAATATTTGGGAACTGTTACCAAGGATTGGGAACTATTACCATGGGTAATATAACTATAATAATTATAGTAATTATAGTAATTATAACTAAATATATTAAAGCTTCTAATATTCATCTAGGTTGTAACAAATCGTTAATTTAGTTGAAGGGTTTGGTTAATACTAATAAATATTTCTTTGAAGCATATTTCTACAAATTCCATTGAACTTGAACGTATGGTTCATAAAAAGATGTTATTAAGCTCTGCTAATGCAGATAAGCTTTCTTGCAACACATGGTTTAGTCATAGTTACAAAATCTTGGTTGAGGCAACCACGATTTGGTTTAAGAGTGGAACATATTCATGCTTGTGAGCCACCCCTAAAGAATGCTGAGCGCTCTCTGAGCACATATGTGTTTCACATACGAAGAGCTGAGCAACGCACACAGTCCCACTTATTGAATCGTTTGAATGGGCTAGTATGCCGACCATTGCATTGTGCGTGGAAATCATTGTTCCGCTACCGCTGTTCGTATATGGGTGAAACACGCATGTGGTGCCAGAGCTATGGTATGTCGATCGCTGCGCTAGGTAGAGAAAGAAAAGTGTGTGCTATGACATGCACAGAATTGTTTGGCTCAGTTTTTCTATCACCGCGAGTTGTTTCGGTGCGCGCATAGTTATTTAAAAATATAACGTTTGATGCCAACCGAGGTTTTTCAGTGGATATATAATTCATGTGAATTATAATTTGAAAGTGTCTATTTAGCCAAGGAAAAAGCAAAGCAGTATACTTCCAGCAGACATTGACCTGGGTTTTCGCACGACTGTTCCTGTATCATCGTTGTTTTTTAGGAAATTCTTACCACCATATACATACGTATTATTTACTTTAGTAACTAACTTATGTAAATATGTACTTTTTTTATGCTTAATATATGCAAATAAAAGAAGAAAGTAGACCCAACAAACATCGAGTAAATTTTTATTTGTGTCAAACTGAAACTTTTTTCCCATTAATAAACGGTTAGCTGATTCAAGTCTACAGCAAGTTCACAAAATTAATTGAAAACTTGTATCAACCAAAGCATTGTTTATATTTGCTCAACAATTATTTTATTCAACTAACAATATTGTGCAATCAAGGTAGTCGTTTTGTAATTATTAACAAATATACATTTGTCCCAACTAGAAGTCTTAAGTAAATTGCAGACTTTCGTGAACTATATATTTATTTCGCCATATCCAACTATGATACTTGATCACTATAACCAAATCTTGGTTATTATAACTAAACCTTTTTCTGGGTGTAGGATTGCCTCTTTCACGCATCTGTCTCCTTGCGACTGCGCAGTTGCTTTCATCTTCTGACTCCGAAGAAGTTAAATAAAAAAATACTACAGGATCCATCCTTATTGATGCAAATATAATTTTTTAGTAAAGTTTTCTTTAAATATAACGCATCACAGCTAAATGTAATTTCGTTTTGATTCTTTTGCTTTGTTTTGACATTTCTTTTTCGCCATCCACAAGTGGAAGGCAAGTTTGGAACTAAATAATTTCGATTCGTTAGGTTTCGACTGCGGCGATCCGGTCATTCTACACGTCACGAAATTTTGCTCGACTCGAATGGTCGCTCGTTCACGACTGCCGCGATTCGGGCCCAGGTTATCCTGAAAGTTTCGCAAGGCGAACAGTTCTTCGGCGTTTCTAGGTTACTATAATTGTGTGATCTACAACAAACTGCTTGATAGTGGCTATTGTTAAATCTAATAAATGTGGCAACACTGAACTCATGTAAGTAAAATATAGCCACCTAAAAGTCTACACAACGTTGCTTATGCATTTGACAGACTTTTCGTTCATTTTCTGACAGTCAGTTACGGCAGCTTATTCATATTATAGTTAGCCCTTTAGTTTAATAGCACGAGTGCAACACCGTACACGTAATAGAAGTAAAACTTCTTAAAAAAGCACATGTGTGCACCCCACACCCCGTAGAAATCTTAACTGAAATAAACTACGAGACTATCAGATGAATACAGTTGTTTATTGTATCCAAAGTTGGTACCAAGTTGATAGGTTTTTATCATTTCTCATTTCTCATATTTTATTTTTTATTTTTAACTTTTTCGAATACAAAGGATATGATCATTCTTTTTCGATTTATTCCGTATTCGAAAAATTATGTGTGTGTTTCAATGGACACATCGATTTGAATACATAATTTAGATTTAGATAACATTTTTAGCAACTTATTTGAGAAAAATAAAACATTTAGATTATTGTTTTTATTTTCGTCGATTTTAAATGTGCTACCCCAAAATAATTGATATCAAACAAAACACCTCTTTGAGGTAAACTTTCCAAGTGACGAAAGCTGAACTAGAAACACAAAATTTATGATATCAATTTCGTGACGAAAATTAGACGAATTTTTTAACTGCCTTTGAAACGTACGGAAGATCTTTTTTTATTTATTCGAAAAGTTGCGAAATTCCGTTTACTGCTACAAACACAAAATAAAAAACAGAACTTTTGCAACGATTCGTATGAATAAAAAAGATTTTCCCTACGTTTCCAAGGCAGTTAAAAAATTCGTCTAATTTTCGTCACGAAATTGATATCATAAATTTTGTATTTCTAGTTCAGCTTTCGTCACTCGGAAAGTTTACCTCAAAGAGGTGTTTTGTTTGATAATAAAATAACATGCAGATACACCATTGTACTGAAAAGTGTACGCTTGGAATATACCCAGCAAACAATTAGGTTTGATATACATTTGAGAATGATTTGAAATCAAAGCCTTATCAAATGTCAAACGTTTGAAAATGACTTGATATTGATTTGAAAATTACAGCTTTCTCACACGGTTAAAAATTTCGGTTTTAATTTTAAACTTTTTGGACTACATATATGACCAAACTAAATTCAGTTTCAAATACAAACCTTCCAAGTTTAAAAAAAAGAGAGCACATATGTTGGGTTTAGAATTTAAACAATTCGGTTTAAATGTTAAACCCAAACATTTTCATAATTAAGAATAAAAAAAAAAACAATTTTAAATTTCATGCTCCGTCTGGTTGGGATTGAACCCGGACAGCCTTGGTAGCAACCAATTTTATCAAGCATCTTTGCACACTTAACTACAGCCACGCATGTAAATGTGCTTTCATATGTTGAGTTTGAATCAACACCACAATTCGCTGTGCAAACATATTCTATTTCGGTTTAGATTTTAAACCAAATTTTCTATATATGAAACCTAGAAACTAGAATTAAAACATTTTGGTTTGATTTTTAAACTACGAACTTTTTGGGCAAAAATTTAAACCAGAATATATTAAAAATTGCGTAAAACTATTGACTGGTTTAAAAAGTAGACTATAAAAGTTTAAAAAAGGCAGTAGTCCCAGCGCGGTTTAAAAATTAAACCCAAATTTTTGACCGTGCAATAAAAAAGGGAGTTTGATCTCCATTTGAGAATATGGCTAACTTCAAATGTGGAAATAAAATTTATAATAGGAAATGCATATTTCATATTTATTTTTTCTTCGCTATATACATATGTATGTACATAAAGTAATTTATAATAGATTCGTCTTGTTGGGCTGCAGCTTTTTCAATTGGCGCAAACATCAAATCGACTATTTGTGGGCTTTCTCTTTGAAATTTTTTCTATTCATTGTTTTTTTTTCAATTGATCTTAATTTTATTCTTAAATTTTTTGATTTAACTGCGCATTTTTATAACATTTGATACTTGACATCTTTCTTCAAATCAACCTCAAATGAGTTTCAAATGTAAAATTTGAACCTCGCTTTCAAATTGAGAATCATTTGAGAAAAACATTTGATATCAAATTGAGAAATACATTTTTCTCAAACGTTTGAAACTGTGTTTGCTGAGTACTTTAGCTACACGTATGCATGTATGTAATTTATATGTACATACATATACATATAGTATTACCACCATAATTCATATATTTGTGCATATTCCTACATTCCTACCAACCGAAAGCATTTGCTTGCATTACATACATACATACACATATATACATATGTATGTATGCTGTATGTACAACAAAATGCATGCCCAAAACAAACGCGAAAAATATCTCCTATACAACGTCGGTGAAAGTTTTTCGCGATAAGTTTATCACGATAAGCTGTTGTGAGTGATCGCGAATGGATTACTTGCATCGTTTTTCTCATTTATGAGAGGCTGACATCTGCAATGCTCGGACTTCTCATCAGTGTTGCCGTTTTAGCCCTTTGGTGGCTAGATTTAGCTACCACATACTTTTTTTGGCCACATAAATTTAAAATTGCCCCTAGCCCTTTTTTAGCCCTTTTTAGAATTTACTCATACTTGGCATGAAAAACTTGTATATGATTAATTTGATCTAAATTTTTTTATTCATCTATGTAAGAGATGAATTTTTAATTTTAAACTAATTCTGGATTTCCACTAGGCATTAAATGGCAAAAATGACAAATGACAAAGTCGGTCATTAAAAAATAATCGTGTCATTACATTAAAAAAATAATCATTAAGAGCATTTCCACATGGCATTTTTTTAAATGGCAGACATTTTTTGTCATTTCAATGCCTAGTGGAAATTCGGCATAAGAATGACTGATATATGTATATACATATATGAATTGTATGTTCCTTACGTTTTTATACTACTATAGTTTAAAGTAGATAAGTTTACGGCCCTTAATATGTGTATGTTCTTGTGGTGTGATTGTACCAGCTGCTGGTGTGACTTCAAATACTATTTGAAAATTTGATGATTGTACCAGCATGCTGGTGTCGTGAGTGGTAAAATTAGCTAAATTTTCTAAGTAAAAAGTATTTTGGCGGAAATTTCTTACCCCATATGGGTCAAAGCCGTGTTTGTGGAAGATTAAGTTCACGATATTGCAGTTGTGAATTAAAAAAAAGCAA